TAGGATTCATTTGATGAGAGAAAAATGAAAGGGATGAGAGAAAAATGAAAAGGATGAGAGAAAATTTTTTAATGAGTTTGATTTACAAAATTGAAGAAGTGGAATTAAAAGCTTTTTAATTAATTTTTATTATGCTTTTATTTTACATCTTTTTATTAAAAGGAAAATTTTCAATAAACCCCCGGTAGCCAAATTTATATTACAAATGGGTTACAAATTGTCGAATTCTTGTTGTAAATCGCAAAATTTAGGTTGTTCATTCATTCACCCATAAAATTTACGAGGATTTACAATTCAAATTTTCTTATTTATAACAAAAATTTAGCGATTTGTAACTCAAATAAAGTAAAGATATTTTTATTTTCTCATACAAAAAATTTTGGTGAGGGTGTAGTGAAACTTCAAAATTTTCTGAGGGTTGACTGATATTAATTCTTTATCAAGAGAGGGCATTGAAATTTTCTTTTATTAAAATCTTAAAACCTCACTTCTTTAATTTTTTAAATTAAACTTATTAAAATTTTCTCTCCTCTCCATTTTCCTCATACTAGACATAAGTTAAAAGGTTAAGGTGTAATTTTATTGACAACATTTATCCCAAAGAGCACTATGCACTATAAAGTTTACTTATGTGTAAAAATATACATGAAATTATCAAAAGGTTGCATCTGGCACCATACCGTTAAAATCTGTTAGTTTATTATTAGTGAGGGACACGAAGTCAATTTTAAGATACATTTATAACAACAAAGTTTACATTAAGGGATACTAGCCACATAAAGTTTATTTAGGTGCAAAAATATACTTGAACTTTCTAAAAGGAAAAAAAACAACAAAATTCATTAACACCCATATATATTGGTTAACTTTATTTTTTTAGGTCCCACCAAATATCACATTTTCTCTCTATTCATTTCTACTTCCTCCTCTCCTTAATATAATGGATTAATTTGAAAATATTAAAAAGGTAAAATTACTTAATTATAACATATATTATATGATCTCTTTAAAATATTTATATATTATTAGATTACATATTAGTTTATGAGCGAAACAAATTAATTTGGAGAAAAACAATAAATATAATATTTTAAAATAATTTATTTAATTCATTAATCTCTTAAAATAGAGTGGATGAATTTTGTCATTTTTTCCCCTCTTTTTAGAAAGTTCATGTATATTTTTGTATCTAAGTAAACTCTATTATCCCTTTTGCCACTTGATGTAAACTTCATTATTAAAATTCACCTTAAAACTGATTTTATGAACCCCATTGACGATAAACTAACAAACATTAACGGTATGGTGCAAGATATCCTTTTTGATAACTTAATGTATATTTTTACATCTAAATAAACTTTATGGTGCCTAATGTCCCTTAGAAAAAACTTTGTTGTTAAAGTTACATCTGAGCCCTAAGTTAAATATAAGACTTCAATCTATTTTATATCACATACTTGTCTTTTTTTCTCCCCAAACTATCCATACTGATTATACATATTAAGAGAGTTTATATGAAATGGTAATTTCAATGTAAATGATTTAAGAGAATATTTTATTTCCTTTTAATTCTATTATTGGGTTTTTTTTAATGGTAGTCAATTTTCATGGTTTAAAAAAAATCTATCATTTTTCAATTTTTTAATTATATACTCCTTCCAGTCTTTTTAATAAGTTTGAAATTTGGGGAGTAGTGTAGTTCATTTTATGAGTTTTAATTTGAGTTTATCTTATTTGGACAAAAAAATTTGAATTTATCTTAACATTTAATATATTTTTCAATTTTTTAATTATTTATTCTTTTTTATTTGTCATACTCTCTTTTATCACATCTCATTATACATTTTCTTTCATCCTTTTTGTTATTTATTATAAAGGTATATTTAAGTACAAAAATATTATATTTCTAACCGATTTATTATTTTTAGCTAATTTTAATTCATTGTTTATTATCGGCAAATTAATTTTTTGAAATTTATAATAAACACAGGAGGGAGTATTAGAAATATAATGAATTGCTCATTGTAGAGAATACTATGATTTAAAGGGGGAAGGAGAATTCGAAACAAGAAAAGCAAATTATTGCATTGGGACATGAAGGAGTGGTTTAGATGAAAATAAAATCATAATTTTAAAAGTAATTTTATGACATACGAAATAACTATATGAAAGAGTTTATTTCAATTTATGAAAAAATATTTTTTTACTTTTGATAATATCCAAACACCTTCAAAATCGAGCTGGAAAAAGAAAAAGTAATATTATAATGGAGGAATAGGTTTCAATTCAATTAAAAGTGGAGGATAACTTAAAATTGAAAATTGAGTAACCACTAACCACCATTTTCTCCGCATCAACGGTAGGTAATCGGCAACGAAGCCATAATAATGTAGAAACAATAATTAATAATTAATGCATACGAAGCCCCATCTCTAGCTTCCATTCATAAAGACCACACATTAAAACTTAAATTCTTGCCAATCATTTTACCCTTCCTTATGATATGGGAAGATTCTCTGTCTAAATTTAATTCATATACTACCCCAGTAAGCTTTAATTTTCTTTATCCTCTGATCCTAAACCCATCAAATTGTTCATCATATGCTCTCTCCAGAGACACACAGATATGAAAAAGAAGTAACTTACTTAAACTTTTTATATCCATCACGTCAAGTTTTTTAATCCCATACAACTGTGTATTCTATTTTTAAAATATTAATAACATTTAATAGTATTTAATTATAAATTTATATGGAACAAAAAAAACACATAATCATGTGTGATTAGAGAATTTAACGTAATAGATATGAGTAACTTGATATAAGTTTTTTTTATATGAAAAAAATACTCACATTAAATATTTTATCTATTATGTCAACTTTTTCATCTAATGCAATTAATCTGCAGCACAATCACTTTATAGGATTTAAGAGATGAAACGAAGATGCTTGGCTTGCCGAGCAAGTATGGAATCTCGGAGGCTCACACATGCACACTTACTTCTAACTAATCTGGATGCCTTCCTTATCCCTCTTTTGGCAGCAATCGTCCCTTGCCACACGCCGCCGCAAAAGTTGCCTCCCCGCCTCCCCGCCTCCCCGCCTGGTCTCATCTCAACCCTTTGGAATTTACCGTCCCCTTGTCGCCACGTGCATCTCCCCATTTGGTGACGTGTCATTCAACCCGCATCTTCTCCTTTGAATTTTTACCCCATTCACGTCCATCATCATTTTGACCCCAAAAAAAAATTAAAAAAAAAAGTTCATCATCATTCTCTCATACAAACCTCATTCCTCACATTCACCTCCACCTTCGCATGCCCTCTGCCCCTTTTTGTTCCTTAATTAATTAATACTATTTTATCCCTTAATACATATTATATTATCTCTAGTTTTTAATATAAGTACAAGACAAATAAATCTTATATTAAAATTAAACACTAAAGATGGTATTATATATATGTATAATATTTTATGAACTTGCTCTTCATGAGTTGAGATATTTAATAAGAGGATTTTTGAACTAAATATAATTTAAATTTAAATAATCTAGATATTAGAAATATATGATTTTAATCTAATAAGTTTGAATCTAAATCATATTTAAAACAGGATTTAATTAATTATCAGATATTATAAAAACATATGGTTTAATTTAATTTGTTTAAATTCAAATAATCTATCATCTCATTAATTGAGACATTGAGATAACAGATAGTACATCATGATAAATCTATTTATTGGTGAAGATCTTAGTATGCTTTGGCTTCACAAAATATTCTCTACTACCTCTTCATATATAGAGTCTCTCTAGATCAATTATATTACTAATATTGTTTGGTTTTTCAATCATCTTTCCTCCTCTTCCTTTCTTAGCTCTAGTAGTCTGCCTGGTAAACCCTTTCAAACCCTGTAAGTTCCTCTTTCTTGCTCCTTTATTTTGGAACACAAAATTTCATGTAGTGTGACTCTTTCATTATGATTTGCGCAATACATAAAACCACACTATAATTTGTACTTTCGTAACACAAATTGTATTACAAACTAAATATGATATTTAGGATCGAATGAAGTATTTGTTTTATATATATGGCTTTAAAATCAAACCTTTGAGCACTTAGCTTGGAAGATAAAGAAAAACCCACCAAACAATCCGCACTGAATTGATACTCACAACCTATTTTGATTTTAATTTTAATTTTACAGTATATAATGGTGATATAAATATCATGTGCGGTATAAAACAAAACAAAAATCCTGCCCTACCATTTAATTTATAGTTCTTGAATGGTCCGATCCCTTCTTAATTTTAAATGATTATTTAATTTTCCTACAATCATGCCGATGCAATACAATTTCCATGTTTTAACAAACGAGAGTTCAGTGGCCCCTGCCCCCCGGCCTTCAATTGCTCCTGCTATAAATAGGCCCTTTCCACCTTCTTCCCTGTCCACAAAAGCAATCGCTCCGTTCCTGTGTCTTCTCAGAATCTCAGTCTATCACTTTCACTTTGTTTCTCTCCAGGTGTTTCTTCTTCTTCTTCTTCCACCGCCGCCGGAGATAGATTATTCGAGGTGAAGTATGTCTTATATTTGTAGTGCTTCCTTGTTTTCCTGTTCTCTCTTTTGATTCATGGCCATAATCCCGGCACGTCCGTTTTAACATTTCTACAGAGTAAAATACAATTCTGGTGGACCTTCAGAGTTCCCATAGAAAGCCTTTCGTGTTTTGCAGAAGCGTGAATGTTGTAATGGAGATTAAAGGTGGGAAGAAGAAGTCCCGCATTAGTAGTTCTTTACTCTACGAGGTCCCCCTTGGCTACATCATTGAAGACGTTCGACCCAACGGTGGCATTGAGAAGTTCCGATCTGCTGCTTACTCCAACGTAAGTTCTCTTCGCCGAGACCTGAGATGGTGTTCTTTGTCCCTGCTTTTGAATTCTCGTTTGATTTTTCTTTTCAATACTTGCAGTGCCTGAGGAAACCATCCTGATATGATGCGATTTCAGAGTGCCGCCGTAGACTAGAACTTCAGATTTCCGTTTTCTATTTTATTTTTCATGTTCGTTCCTTCAAGCAATTCAGAGGACGCCGCTCTTTGATTCTTCCTGACTAAACCGTTTACAGAGCAATCAGAACAAGCTAATACAATCCAGGTCCAGAGCCTCTCGCAATGGCTGTTTTGCCTGAGATTTCCAGTGACGCAAATCCATCTCCGATCGGATTTGAGGGTTTCGAGAAACGTCTCGAGATTACATTCTGCGAGCAGCCGATGTTCAAGGACCCTCAGGGAAAAGGCCTTCGAGCCCTGAATCGCTCTCAGCTGGAATCCATCCTCGAGCCAGCCTGCTGCACCATTGTGTCACAGCTTTCCAACGACGAACTCGACTCTTACGTGCTCTCTGAATCGAGCCTCTTCGTATATCCCCTGAAGATTATACTCAAAACTTGTGGCACCACGAAGCTTCTCTTGTCCATCGAGCCTATCCTGAAGCTCGCAGAATCACTCTCACTATCTGTTTCCAATGTCAGGTACTCCCGCGGGAGCTTCATCTTTCCAAACTGCCAGCCTTCCCCTCACCGCAGCTTCTGTGAGGAAATCGCCGTTATGAATGAACACTTCGGCGATCTTAACTCCAAGGCCTACGTCATGGGCCATCCTAATGTTCCGAATCGTAATTGGCACATTTACTGGGCTTGCAAAGATACAGCCAATAGCACACCGCTGATCGGAAATCAGACGACGACGACGACGACGACGGAGATTACATTAGAGATGTGCATGACCGGTTTGAACCGCGAAAAGGCGTCCGTTTTCTTCAAGAAACAAGGAGATGGTTCCGTCGGCGAAATGACCAAAAAGTCCGGAATTTCGGGCATTATTCCAGGTCACGTGATCTGCGACCACGAGTTTGATCCGTGCGGGTACTCAATGAATGGAATCGAGGGCGCAGCGTACTCAACGGTGCACGTGACCCCAGAGGATGGATACAGTTACGCCAGCTACGAAGCCATGGGGCTGAACGCCGAGTCAACAGGTTTGGGTTCGCTGGTGAACAAGGTTGTGAAATGCTTCGAACCAAAGGAGGTGAGCGTGGCGGTCACGTGCAAGGCAGGCGAGGAGGGGTTTGCCACGTGGGATGCTGACGTGGAGGGATACTTGTGCGGGAGCGTCGTGAAGCAGGAGGTGCCAGGTGGAGGGTGCGCATTTTATCGGGTCTTCACATCGAAGAGGGTGGGATGCGCAGTGCGCACCCAGAAGAAAGCAAGAAAGAAGAAGCGGCGCAGGATAGCTTTATCGGAGGAGGTGGTGGTGGTGCCTGCTTGTATCCCTTCTGCTTAGTGGTGAATGAATCTCTCGTTTTTCGTTTCAAGTGGGGGTTGTGTCGTTTTCGGTTTCGTGATTAAGTGAAATCGTTGTCTTCTGGTGTTCCTAAATAATGTATTTAATGTCGTCTTGGATCAAGAGTCTTTCCCTGCTTACATTTCAAAACATGGAATAAAATAAGGCTTAATCATGATTTGATTCTATGATCTTTATTTTTCCGAAATGGATCCGTCTAAAGTTGTATGCAACAGATAGTGCATTTCAGTGTTGACCAACAATTTTCTATAGCACTCGCATGATTAGAAATGGGGGGTTGTGGTTGGTGCAAAAGCAGTACATGACAAAAATGAATCGTCCCACTAACACAATGAGGTGAGGATATAGCAGAAATGTACGTATCTACTATATATTACCTGCACCGCAGAACAACGACAGCGCCACTTCTAGCTCAGCAGTAAATTAATGTTAAATAATTAGACACGATGAGAAACGGGATGGAACACGACAAGGGGTTGTTTTGGACCTGACCATTTTACTTAGTTTTTCGTTTTTGTTTATCAATCTTGTCGTCCATCTTTTAGATTTGTGTAATCAATGAAATACTCCTCCAATCCTTAATATAGGATCTAATTATTAAGTTGGTTTTGGTTCTAAATATAAGAATCATTTCTTATATTTATCAATTTTCTCTAAATTACCCCTATAGATACTCCCTCAACCATAATCAAGTAGAAGAAGGAGATGGGATATTAAGAAAGATGATTATAGTTTTTTAAGAAAAATGTGTCACTTTTCTTATAATTAATTAACTTACCTAACTTCCTTGATCTAATCAAATTAGTTAAATGGGTCTTATATTAAGGATCGGACGAGTAGTTTATATAGTGCTAGCCAGTCAGCTAATCAGCTAGCTTCTTTCCCTTTTTTGGGGTTCCGGGAAAGCTGCCTGGTTCCCGGCCTCATTTTCGTCCCCATTAAAATTCCAGCTCAATCATTGACTTCACCTGCTTATTGGAGGAAGAATCACATGTTCCAATCCAAGCTTTGTGAAGCTGAGGGCATTGTGCTATCAGGGGATGGATATAACATATATAGCAGGATGTGGAGGTGTTTTTGGGAATCCTGAAGGAGCTTGCATCTAAAAAGTTGCTATTGGGATATGGGAATTCGCTCTATTATTGAAGAATCAGATGCTCACCAGGTGCTGATTCATAGGTTGTGTCATTCATCAATTCAGCAGCTTAATGTCTAGAGCGAGACTGGACTATTGTTTTGAGATATGGGCCAACAAGTGTGAACTCTGTTGCAAACAAAAGCCTTGCTCATCAAGGTGGGTTTTTTTTATTTTTCATTTTCTAAATACAAGTATGCTCTTATCACAATTTTAATCGAGACATTGTTAAATACTAAATGTGTATGTTTTTTCTAACAGAAATTTAAATATTGATTCATTACATCGTAAAGAACTTAGTCCTTTTTATTAAACTCAAGCCATCTAAGTCGGGTTTGCTTGCTCAAGTCTACGGACTTGGCTTGTTGATACCTACAAATGCTACTTGCATAACTTCAAGCTCCTCATGCATATAGAAATTCAGAGGAAGTTTGACGTTAGTATAAACATTTGTCTTTATAATTTTTCATCGAAAAGTGTGACCATCAGTGAAATCCTGTATCCATTATGTGGAATGATAATCCTAATGCGGCAACACCGTCTTGTGTTTATCTGTTGAGCTATGGACGGAAACCTGTGATTTTGTTCGAGACATTTTCTGCCGCCATTGCATATATACGCTTCATTAGTCCATTGTTTCAGTTTTTGTATCTCTATCAGCAGTTTTCTGCATCCCGATCTTCTTGAGATTCTAATGACATTATGCTAACGCTTACGAACCTTTTGAAATTTAAAATTTCCATGTAGAAAGTCTCTCACTGAAAATGGGTCATAATTAAAGTTATAATCAATGCATAACACTAAAATGGCACAATTGGCCGGCACTGTCCAATCTCCACTGCGGCTGACCCTTCTGTTGATTGATCAGTTGGATGCCTTGTGGATGAGAGTATGCAGCCACGTGACATAATTCTACCCGCAGTTATGCTTATCAAGTTTGAAACTTCTTAAAAAATTGGAGAATCATTTTGCTCATGAGAAGAGTAATCTAAGTATCCTAAAAGCAAATAAAGGAGGGAGAATCTCTTTCTTCTTCAATATTTTTGTTTTCCCCCATAACCAGTATATTGTAGGAAAATTACAACAAAATCTCAAGAAGAAAATATAATTACTAAAAAATCCTAATAACAATTGAGCAACTTGTAATGACAAATTATAGAATAAGAAATGATAACTTCTAACTTGTCGTTACGACTTTTTGATAGTTATGTTTCTTTCTTAGGATTTCATTCAACATTTGGCTTTGTCATTTTTCTGGTCAATAATGAAGTGGACCATTAATGCTTTTAGGTCTTGTTGCTATTAACTATTCAGATCGGTGCTCATGGACCCGCTCCAGCTCCTGTCTAGTTCCATTTTTGTTCAGTTCACTTGTTTATTAGCTGCTTTGAGATTTGAACAGTATGCTTGTCTGAAACATAAATATTAGTTTTCTACTCGTCTTTTTTTTAAATTACGTTGGATTTCCTCCTCGTGCTCTTATCCACTTGGCATGCTTAAAACTTTGTGGGAAACGAAAAGCAATTCTTGAAATGCTTGCCAGTAAGCGGTGTACAGCCCAACCAACCAGATCAGAATTTCTTGAGGAAGCAGTGCCTACTATAACTAAAGAGGTAGATACTAACTGCTTGAAATTATAATTAAGATCAAGCTCGTGACTTCCCACTTATAAAGAAGTATTCATGCTACTAGATTGTAAGGCCACTGACTCACTTCTCACTTATCTATTGCTGCATTCTAAGAGTAGTGTCTATTTAAGAAATCCCACACAACTTGGTGAAAAGCATCCCTTGCAGAATATGTTCTGTGATTCCCTAGCAAATTGTAAAAGTGACAAATACTAATGGCCCGAGGTTACAAATAAGATCAAACTCGCAATCTCCCACTCATAGAAAAGTCTTCATGCCACTATATGTATTTGCTGTTTAAGGTACTCAACTTGTTTTGCTGATGTACGTTCTGATTTCTAATGCGGCTTCCAGGTATCAGGTGACTTGATTTGATAAAAACATAAGCATGTGCTGAAGATTTTAATATGGTCATTGAAACTTTACAGTTTACACTGGCTTTATGGTTTATCACATGATTCTCTCTTTATCTTTTGTTGGCTATATAACTTTGGAAAATCATTTGTTGTTTACTCAAAGATGGGGGGGATGTGGATGTGGGCATGTATTCTCGTTCCACTTGGGACAAAAAGATAAAGAGAAGCAGGAAGTGAACTAAATATGGCGACAGGGTATGCCTATAATCTTTTGCATTTATAATAATTGATGTGACCCTACCCACTTGTTTCGTATGACAAATAAAAAAAAGCTCTTATTGCTATTCTTATATTCTCAAATAGGCTAAGAGTCATATATGATATCCCTAGTATCTGTCGCTATTGGACAACATTGGTGAATAGAAAATACAACGTTAATAACACAAGAGACACGACGATATGAAATATTGACTCTTAAAAAACTTCAAAAGATTCCTCGATTTTATGTTACTTCAAAGTAAGTAGTCGAAGGATGAACAAGTAATATAGATATAACGTACAGTCAGAGTTCCAATTCTGTGAAGCTGCAGTCACGGGGATGGTTGAGGAAAACAAGTTTAACAAAATGAACAGGACATTATGATGTCTAAACAAGGCTCTAATAAAGCCAATCCTAAGAAAAGATCATATCCTTCTGCTTTATTTTCCTTTTTTCTTTATTCTTTTAGGATGGGGCTCTGCACTCCCATGCTTTCACGTGCATACTAAAAGTGGAAGAAAGAAAAAAAGTTGCAAAGCATAATTGGTAGGACGCTTCCATGTTCTTAGAGATCATTCGTCACTTACACCTCAACTTTCCTTGTCTTTCTTCCTGTTTTTCTAGCTCATGCTTTTTACACGAGAGAAACGAAAGAAAGGAAGGAAGAAACAAAAGGAAAATTCTCTAATGATCGTGCTCTGCACAAGGACGTATGGACAGCATGATGATTGGTGAATAATCTCTTAAACCCCACAATTTTAGAGCAGGAAAAACTGTAACTTTGAACAATGAAAAGATGCACTGCAACACTATATTCTGATTATATAATAATAGTTGTTCAAAATACCTTGCTGCTACATGTAGAAGATGATGGGCCCTTTTGTGGATTTTTAAGTTCTGAGACATTTTTGTTAATATAATGCAGCTCCACGTTTCCCAAGGAGGAGGAAAAGAAGAGAGAAAAAACCAATAAAGTTTTGGTTGTAAAAGAGACAGAAGCAGAGGACTGACATGAAATTTGAAACGGTAATAAAACAGTGTTTGGATGTTGAAGGCTCTGTAACTTTAGGGACCCCCAAAAAAATTTAAAGCGCCACTGACCAAATTCCCTACAGGATTAGTTGCATCCCATTTACTGCAAAATGTAGAAACCCAAGGGATCAATTCAAGAAACGTCTCTTTTCTGGAGTTTCTCCCCTCATGCTTTTTCCCAGAAAAAAAATGGCCTTCGTTTCAAGGATATTGTCAAGATCAGAGAGGAAATCAAACCTGTGGTAGAGCAACATTTGATTTGAATATCCACCAAATAGGGAAAAAAAGAGAGAAAGAAATATAAATACAGATTTTATAGAAATAAAATAATATCACTAAGCTAGTAGATTGAGCCTTCTAGCCAATATCACCAGAATCAGCACCATATTCAACAGGCGAAGCAGAAGAAGAACAGAGGCGCTAGCAAGCACTGAACTTGATAAACAGGGTAGTTCCTACTGCAAATAGCCCACTCTGTTCTTGAGCTGAGCAAACCCTTTTGGTTCATTTCAAGCACTTTGAGGAGAAAGAAGACGATAAGTACTCCGGCCCCAGAAGTTGCAGCAGCCATGGCCCTCACCATATTCGACTTTCTCTGTTGCCTCTGCTTCAGCTGCAACCACCACAAGAAAGAAAAAAGAAAAGAAAAGATGGGATTCTTAGAAGATTTCAGAAGGGGAAAAAACAACTGGGGAAAACCAGATATGTAGTGGCAGTGGGAGCAAAGGTGGGGTGGGTGTACAT